AAAAACTAATAATAACAATATCAATTAATAATAATAATAAATTATAATTATTATCTAATTCAAATAAAAGCATAATAATTTTTAAAAATTGTTTTCTCAATTTTTTTTTTTAATTTCAAAAAATAAAAGTAAAAAAACCGGTGGCTAGTAACCGGAGGTGAAAACTGGTTGACCGTCACCGGTAACCGACGGTCAAAAGGGATTGACGATTGAGGCCAATCAGATTTGGTCGCCGATTATAGGTGACGGGCAACCGGTTTTCACCTCGGTTACCAACCATTAGTTTTGTAAAAAAGAAAACAAAAAAAAAAAACTCGCCGGAAAACTTACCTCCTTTCAGCCATTCCGCCACCTGAACCGCCGCCTCTTCAGATCTACTGGACCGGTCGCCTTGTTTCGCAGCCGCTAATTGCTGCCCGTAACTACTACTTTGTTGTTGTGGTGGTTGTGTGGAAAAAGGTTGGGGTTGGGGAGTTTGATGAGAGAGAAAATAAAAGGAGGAAAAATAGGTTAGGATTTAGTAAAAGTAATAATGACCCTTTACTTAAAATGATGGCAATTTTAATAAATTTAAATAACGGTTTTTTAACACTACCCAATCAAAAGTGTTATTAAAATGATGAGCTCCACACTCACTCAATGACTTCCAAAAATGAAGTTAGCTTACACGATGCAAAATTCTCCGTTTAGTTTAGTACTATACTTTCTGTGTGACCACATATCATTTTCGTATATTGGTAGTCTTTTTGTTGGCTAAGTAAGACTTTTCTCTCTTCAATTTATTAATATGAATTAATTTGCTAATATTAGATGAGTTTGACAACAATAAGTCAACAAACAAAAACAAAGTTCAGTAAAAATATAATCAAATCAACAAAATGAGTTATACTATAATAGGTTAATTTCAGCAAAAATAAGTTAGAATGAGCAAAAAAAAAAAATTTTAATTTTTATTTTTGAACTAGAGCAAAAGTTCATTTAAGTTCAACATAAATAAGATAGATGATGAAATTAGAACCTGAGCCATTTGTTAAATTTACTTTAATTTTACTTATTTTCCTGTTATATTAGAGGAACTTTTGCGTGAGACCAGATTCACCATGAATTCAATATATCTGACAATAATATTCTTATATATGACAATAATTTTCTAATATCTGGCAATAATATTCTTATGTATGTCAATAATTTTCTAATATCTGACAATAATATTTTTTTTTCCAATAATATTAATAATTGAGCACCTTCCCCATTAGATTTACCCTCGGAATCAACGATCCCCTATCTCGATAATGCCTCATCTCTCCTCCTCCTCTCATCCTCTCACCCTCCCTCATCTCTCCTCCTCCTCTCTCCTCCTCTTCCTCCTATCATTACTCACTTCTCTCCTTTCCATCTTCAACGACATCTTCGCTTCTTCTACTGGATTACTCTCGTACTCCATATATTCATCTCCTTCTCCCGCCATCGTCTCCATTCTAAACCTTAATAATTTCCCCCTCTTTTCGGACCAAATTGATGGACTTTGTGATGAATTTCTCCCAAAACGAATCATGAGAGAGAGAATGGAAGTTCCGAGGGTGAATTTGATGGGCAAGGTGCGCGAATCGGCCAAAAGGTCGAGGATGAAGAAGCAGTAGCATTTGGATTAGCATTTGGAAATTCGGACTCACGGTGGGTCCTTTTCACACAAAAGTTTTGCTTTAAATTATTAATCCCTCCATTTATTTTTTATGATTGCCATATTGATCACTCTTTGCAAATCATAAAATAACTTATTTTAAATATGAATTACAAAAGTAGATGTTGTAAAACTACAAAAAAGAATCAAACTAACTTTTGTTATACGATTGTATTTAGGAAATTTTGACTTTTGCTACCACAAAAAACCTCGAGTTTCATTTTTGCTACCCCTTAAATTTTTTTTTTAATTTTACTACCACCTAAAAACACCTTTGTCAAAATTTGCTACCACTTGACGGAAGCTGTTAGTTTTGCCGTTTGTGGGTCCCACTTCACCCCTGCCCCTCTCTCTCCTCCTTCCTTCCCCTGCCTCTCTCTCCTCCTTCTCCAGCCACCAATCCCCTTCCCCTGCCACTCCCCCTCCACCCCCTAGCCACCTGTCCCGCATCTCCCCTTCCCCTGCCGCTCCTTAAAATCGATGCACTACCCCTTCCCCTGCCGCGACGGTAAGAGTTTCGAGGGTAGGGAAGTTGGGGTTTCGAGGGTGGGGTTGTTGGGGTTTCGAGGGGGTAGTCGGAGATGGAAAACGTTTAGGGTTAGGGTGTTCGAAAAGGGTAGGGGAAGGGAAGGGGGGGTCGATTTCGGTGGGGGAATGGGGAGGGGGGCCGATTCCGGTGGAGCGAATGGCGAGGGGAGTGGTTTCCGGTTCAGGGAGGCGGTCGAGGCAGCAAGAGGGGGAAAAGCGAGGGGGTGGCTGCGTAGGTGGGGGAAAGGGATTGGGGGGTGGTTGCGTAGGTGGGGGTCGCCGGGGTTGGTGGGGGAAAGGGATTGGGGTGGGGTCGCCGGCGTTGGCCTTAGTTTGGCCGCCGGTCGCCGGCAGGGGGGAGGGGGGGAGGTGGCTGACGGGATGGGGGACAATTAAGGGTGGTTGGGTTTTTTTTTTTTTTTTTAAACATTTTAATTTTATTTTATTTTTTTATTTATTTATTTTTTTTTGTATAAACTTAACGGAATCTTAACGGATTCCGTTAAGTGGTAGCAAATTTTGACAAAAGTGTTTTTAGGTGGTAGTAAAATAAAAAAAAAAAAATTTAAGGGGTAGCAAAAATGAAACTCAAAGTTTTTTGTGGTAGCAAAAGTCAAAATTTCCTTGTATTTATTGAGAATGTGTTACAAAGAAATGAAGGAAGTACAATTTTTCAAACAACTTTTAATATGACATATACTTCGTCGAATATTATAATTAAAAGCTAAAAGAGAACTAATTTTTCATCAAAGGTTATAGATATATATAGCGTATAGAACTAATTTTGATTTGAGTTGTTTCTTTTTGATAAACCGCAGAATTGAAGCATGGATATACAAATAGAGAAAGGTCAATCTGTAGTTACAATTCGGCTATATGATGCTGCACTTCTAGGAGACGTACCATTTTTACTCCACTTGCTTAAAGAAGATCCACTTATCCTCGAAAGATGTATCATTGAAAAATCAAGCAACATCAAGCAGTCTCCATTACATGTTGCTGTTGCAATGGGACATCTTGAGTTCGTAGTTGAAATTTTACGCCGGGAACCAAAGCTAGATGAGATGATTGATAACTTAAAGGGATCTTCACCACTACACATTGCCTCAGCAAAAGGGCACTTGCAAATTATTGAAACCCTAATTGGTGCGAAACCTCATATGTGCTTTGCACGCGATCAAGAGGGAAGAACTCCTATTTTTGTTGCTGCTGTGTCCGGTCAAATTGATGCACTTGACTCCTTCATCGGGCAAACCCTTATGCAGCGCAGGGGCGGACCAATGACGGTGAAACTATATTACATTTGTGTGTCATACATAACCAGCTGAAGGCTTTGGAGCGTTTGTTAGAGCTGGTAGATGATGATGGAAATCAGTTGATCAACTCTAGGGACAATGATGGCAATACAATCCTGCACCTTGCAGTGATTGGCAAACATTCCGAGGCAAGATGAATTTTAATTTCTACATCTAAACAAATTACACAAAATGATCAATCCTATCTACTCAAAATTCTTGGAAAAAAAATAAATTTGTTCAATGATTCTATGGTTGTCATTTGAAAATTGATAACCATAATCTTTGAATATGAAAGGTTAAGATTTAATGATTTTTGAATAAACGTTAATACTAATTAAAAAAATTAATTCAATTATTTCTTAAATAATTTTTTTAATTTATTTATTTATTTATTTATTTGTTTTATTTTTTTTTTATTTTTTTTTATTGGTGTTTAGAGAGCCATTAGGGCGGGGTGAGAATCAATCCCAGGATAACCTGGAATTGGGAGGAAAGCTCTAACCACTTGAGTTATTTGAAATAAAAAAATAGAATTCCCTCAAAAAAAAATAAAGAATAATTAATGTTCAAAAATTTAAAAATAATTTTAATTAATTTTAGCATTTAAAATAATTTAAAAATTATTTAATCACTACCATCCAATTTTAAGTAGTCATCATATTTCAAATGACTACACTAGTATTCCGCATTTTCACTTGTCTGATTGTTTAATGAGCAAAACAATTTCACTGAAAAGAATTAATTAAAGATATTAATGATTATATATGTGTTTTGTGTAACATTTCTTTTCAATTGGGTTTATTTTGAGGTAGAGTTAGTGAGTACCAACACTTGTATGAGAGAGAGAAAAACATGTTTCATCTCGAGGTTTAAATGTAACAAGTTAGGAGACACACGCACATTGCTTGTGCAATATAAGAAATCTAAGTGGTTCGATTATCCTTTTTTTTTTTTTTAATATTATCTAACTTATTCATGGAGGGTAATAGTAGGATATGACTTCGCTCAAAAATATTTTTATTTTAAAGAATAAGTAGCTTTTAATTTTTTTTAATAAAAGAGGGTAGTTATATTTAAAAAAAAAAAAAAAAAAGATGGTAGATTTTTTTTTAAAATAATAATAATAAATATAAAAATAAAAGATGAGAGAGGAATTTTGGAAAAGAAAAATTTATCACCCAAAACCCCCCTTTCACTTTATATAATACTGTAGATAATTTGATTAAATTGATATGAATGCTGAATGCAGATGGTAGAGTTTTTTTCTGGATACCCAGGGCTAAACAAAAGTGCTATGAACAAAAATAAAATGACAGCCTTAGATATTATCGGCAAAAAGCAAAATTGGAAGAGCTGAAAATAGGAATGTTGTGCAATATCTGAAGCGTGCCAAGGCAAGACCAGCAAAGGAGGTACTAAAGCACCAAGCGGATGGTACTTGGTTGGAGGAGCAACGAACCTCGTTAATGGTGGTGGCATCCTTGATAGCAACCATGGCTTTCCAAGTTGGAATTAATCCTCCAGGAGGAGTTTGGCAGGAGACAAAGGTAGTAAAAGATAAATATGGCAATATAGTACAAGAAGATGGCTCTAACGACTCTACCCACTATGCTGGTACCGCTATATTGTCATATACAAATAAAGCTTATTCGATAATTAATTTTTCATCATGGTATAATCAGTTACTAATTAGCAACACAATAGGATTAATATCATCACTAAGTGTCATTCTTCTCCTTATTAGCGGCTTTCCGTGTAGGCGAGATTTCTTGTTGATTTTGAGAATAGCTTTATGGATGGCTGTGATTGCAACGACATATACTTACTACTTAGCTATTACCATTCTTACTTATGTTGGAGCAGATAATGATGGCATGTATATTTCAGCTTGGTTTTCTCTCGTAGCTTGTGTAGGGTTGATAGGAATCATGCTCTTTGGACATGTTGTGCGATTCTTACTCAAATTGATTGGTTGGGAAAGGAGGCAGTCACTTAAAAGTTTTTGCAAGATGTGTTTTCCAAAGTTAACAAGCGCTGCTGATAACTCAAGTTCTAGCAACAATGTATAATAGTGGTCATTTAATTTATGACTCACCTTCTTCTCAAATACTTCTAGTTTATGTATGCTTTATATGTATCATGTTTTGCTTGCATTGCAATTTCTTAGTATCATGCCTGTTATTTTAACTTTTACTTGTAATTTGTGCTTTTCTTATCCAAACTAAAATGCAAATGGACTGTCCAATTGCTTGCTTAATGTTTCCTTCACTATTGTATGTTATTTAAAAAATTGCGACAATTATCTTTAAGGATATTAATGGTGAACTTATGCACTCTTAAATAGCTAATGAACAAGTTTAGTTTGGTTAAAGCTCATTCATTAGTAAACTAAGGCCCCGTTCATTTCACCTTATTTTTTGTTGAACTGAAATTATTTTTACTGAATTTAAATTATTTTTATAGAACTGAAATTATTTTTATTGATTCTCTGTTATATTTCTTCTTTACAGAAACTGATTTTTACTGAATTGAAATTATTTTTACTGAACTGAACTTATTTTTACTAAATTGAAATTATGTTTACTGAATATTGGATTTTTATGGTGAAGTGAACAGGACCTAAAAGGCTAAACGAAATTTCTAGTTTATTATTTTTATAAAAAAAATAAAAATAAAAAAAAAACTCAATCATTCAGACAAAAACAACTCGTTATCTTATATATAATTTAAGAGTTGTTTTTTCCAACTTTCATTCACAGCACTCCATATTCCCATCCTCACAATTCTAGCCTTTCTATTTTATTTTATTTAAAAAAAAACTCAATAACCACCATTTTTACATATAACTACCCATATCAGTCAATTAAAATCTAGCCCTTCTATTTTATTTTTTTTTAACAAAAATAACTAATAACCACCCTTTTTACTTATAACTATCCATATAACCAAATTATAAAAAAAAACCAATAACCACCCACTAATTAACTCACTTCTACTTATTTTTTTTTTTTTTTTTGTTTTTTACTTAAACATACATATTACATATATCCCGTGCATGAGCACGGGTACACTCTAGTGTTTTCTAACAATATAGTGATAGGAAAAAATTGTAATGGTTGAATATGGGCCATTGAGTCTGGATCAACCCATCATCAATTGAGCGTGTCACTTCATAAGCCTAAAGGTTATGTGTCAAAATTATAAGCCAATAGTAGAGCTGTCAGTTTATGACCCGAACCGTTAAACTCGATTATTTTGAACTGATCTGAAAAGGAACTGAATTGTTAAAAATCTTTTTTTTTTAAATCAAAAATCGACTTGATCCAATTTTTTCTAACCCGAAACTGAACTGAACCGAATTTGTACGAACTATTACTAAACCAACCCGTTATCAAGCCAAACCGTTACAACCCAAAACTTAAAACAACCCAAACCGATTACGTCTGAACCCGATAGTAACCCGACCCATTTTAAACCGAAAACCGTTTAAACCTGGCAAAAATCCGATGAACATGAAACGGTCCAACCCGTAACTCGTGTGACCGAATCATTTATAACCAGTAACCCGCTATGACCGAACCGTTTCCAACCCGTAACCCGTTGAGACCGAACTGTTTACGACTAGGGATGTCAATGGGGCGGGACGAGGCGGATGTTGGCCTTCCCATCCCCATCCTCATCTAAAATTTTCATCCCCATCCCCATCCCCGCGGCGGGTCTAAAATTCATCCCCATCCCCGCCTCGACGGGTACAATTCCAAAACCATCCCCGCCCCAACCTCCCACTTGGATATCCACCCTCACCTAAAACCCGCCTAATCCCCGCCTCCCAAATACACAATCCTTCATAATTAATAAAGATTGCAAAAAGAAAAAAATTATTGTTAATATTACACGTTTTTTGTTTATAATATAAGTGTATTACAAAGTATTATATTTATAATTTTATTTTACATAATTTTTTTTATAAAATGAGTAAAAATATGTAATTTTGTTTTTAAAAATATATGGATGTGGGGTAGGTGGGGATAGGGCGGGTACGAAGTGGGGCGGGGCGGGTACAACCTAAAATCCACCCCCGCCCCATCACCCATGGCGGGTATGGATTTTATCCCCATCTTCGCCCCATCACCCGCCAAACCAAAACCCATCCCCGTGTTAGGTTTTTCAACAGCAATTTAAGTAAACTACTTAAACAATTGTGGGAACAAACCTAAAACATGTATAATAATCAAATTATACAATATTCCAATACTAATTTAAAGTATTACAAGCAAAGCACTATTAAATCAATGAATTACAGAAAATACAATTAATAAATCCTAATGTGAAAGATATTAAACTTGCCTCACTTCCAAGCCTACTTCAACGATCATGAACATGAGAATACCGGTGACCACTTGAGTCTTAAACCTTGATATAATGTCTTAGGCGTGTAAACACTTTCCTAAAGAGATTAATTTCCCCCACAAAGGTGCTTGGGTTAAACCAGAAATTCTCTTTGAGATACAAAAGACACTCAATCCGTTCTTAGCACAAAGAAACGAAAAGGATGATCAATTCACAAAGGAAGGCTAAATTTCAAGAGGTTTTCTTTCAATAGTTTGCAAGAAGATTGAAAGAGAATAGGAGAATTCTTTTTGGAGAGGATGAACCAAAATGCTCTGAATATTTTCTTTCTCTATTTTTTTTTCACGAAATTCCCTCTTTATATGAGGGTTAGCCGTTAGCAAATAACCGCAAAACTGGCAAATGGCGCGGACGCGACAGAACTGGCGTGGGCGCGCCACAGCGAGGAGTGGACGCTCCCAGAATCTGCGTCAAATGAAATAAAACCAGTGAAGGGCGCGGTTTGAGCGCGACCTGAGGCGCGGGCGCGCCAAAACTGCGCGGGCGCGCCTCTCACTTTCATCCAATCCTGCTGAATTCCAGAGAGGTACGCGGTTTAGGCGCGCTCTCATCGTGGCCGCGCTTACCAGGCACGGGCGCGCTTTACATGGGCGCGGGCGCGCACCATACAACACTCTAAATCATCAACACCCCGCCCTGTTGGGGAGGGTCTCCTATTTGACCCGCCCTACTGACATCCCTATTTACGACCCGTAACCCGTTCAGACCAGATCGTTTACGGCTGATAACCCGTTATAATTGAGTCGTTTACAACCTGTAACCCAATATGCTTATGATCTGATTCGTTTCAACCCACTACTCGATAAGCCCAACTTATTTATGACTTTACTTGATTATAACATGATCCATTCCTATCTATTATCTGACTAACTCGACTCGATAATGATCCAACTCGATTTAAACCCAATATGATTTGGATTGAAACCCGATTCAAATTGGGTAAACCCAATCGACCAAGTTCAATCCAAACCGATTATATATGACCTGAACGGAAAATGACCGGATCCCCGATTTCACCCGATCTGTTTTGAACCGAAACCCATTTTCAAACCGACCCGATTAACGCAAACTGATTATTACCCGAACCGATTACAACCCGACCCGACCAAATTGTTTTGAACTGAAACCCACTTTAAACTGGCTAAACTCATTTTCAAACCGACTCGGTTCAACCCAAACTGATTATAGCCCGAACCAACTACAACCCGACCCGATTAGGACCCGACCTGAATAGAAACCGCAATAAAAAAAAAACAAACCGAACTGACCCGATGATTTTCAAAACCGACCCGCTAATCATTTCAACTCGTTATAAACCAACCCATTATAACCCGAAACTGATAAACCCAACCCAAACCCGAACTGTTTACCCGAATTGACACCCCTAGCCAATAGGTTTGGATACTTACCCCTTCGCTTGCTTACTCTATTTTTGAAAACATTATTATTTTGCAATAAATTTTAAAAGACACTAATTTTCCTTAACTAAACTCATACGTTATATGTAATTGACAAATACATAGATATAATAATCGACAAAAATTTCTTGATTCATTGTCTCATACAACATTGTGAATGTGTCCATCGTTGTTTTCGTATTTTTGCGTGGAAAAAAAATCTTGTGATAACATTGTAACATTAATTTGAGCAATGGACATCAATCACAACCCGGCATAACTTCAGATTACATATCAAATGTAAATCGAGATCACCTTGTCTTTCAAATGAGATAAAAAAAATAATCTTTAAAGAAAATCAAGATAAACCTTATAATTCGATCGGATATCCTTTATTTTTGAGGGAGGCAAATTCTTCTCAAGAGGAAGCGACATTCCTATCTAAAATAAATAACATTAAAGAAATGGAAAAAATGAGACTTTTTATAAGTCTAAAATTTGATGCAAGACCCTTTAAATTTCAACAAGGGAAGCTATATTAGGGTTTAGAGGAGAGGGAAAGAGGTTAATCATTAATGTGTGTATTAATTTTAGTGACTTAGTGTGTTTTAATTTGTTTATTAATTTTTAAAAAATGGAAATATGGGGATATTATAGTGGAACAAAGCAAAAGAACTTTGACTACCCATTTAGAAAGTGTAATTTATACAAATGGTAGTTTAATTCGAAAGTGCGCAAAGCATTATGCTGGACGAATCCAATTCATTGAGTGAGATTTAACAGTATATTGATTTGCCTACTTTCTTTCCTTTTGCTGATCGAATTTTCTTTAATCAATCTTAGGTTGTCATCATAACATTATCTTTTTGTGATCACGTGTTAGCGCTCTTCCACCCTTTTACTCACACTTCACATAGAAGCATAGAAGATGCTTGGCAAGTAGACCTGGTATTGGGCAAGTCGGTAGGAATGTCACTGGGGCGGATTAAGTAGGAGACCCATCCCATCTTCGTTCTAGTGGGTTGGGGATAGATCCCGGTTTGCGGGTGGTGTAGGGATGGGGATAAAAACCATACCCGCCATGGGTGATGGTGGGCGGGGATGATTTTGGGATTGTACCCGTCGGGACGGGGATGGAGATGAATTTTGGACCTGCTGCGGGGATGAGGGTTTGGATGGAGATGAAAATGTTAGGCGGGGATGAGGATGGGAAAGCCCAAATCCGCCCTGCTCCATCCCCTTGACATCCCTAGGTATAGGTT